TCAGAAAGTTAAGGCCCTATTTCTTGAATCACAAAGTAAAGATGCGGACGAACATGCCTTTAGGACAGACGCTTGGTCGACCTTCAGTCTCAGGTCGATTGGTCAAATGGGCGGTCGAGCTCAGTGAGTATTCTATCGAGTATGAGCCGAGGAGGGTGATCAAGGCCCAGTCTTGGCTTGTTTGAGACCATAAAGGGCCTTGTTGAGTTGGCAGACATGAGATTCTTTTCCAGGAACCTCAAAGTCAGGAGGTTGTTTCATGAATATGGATGTCTCAAGTTCTAGAGTTCCATGGAGAAAGGCATTATCAATGTCAATTTGCCTAAGTTGCCAGCCTTTAGACAAAGCTATAGAGAGGATGAGTCTGATGGTGACAGGTTTAATTACAGAACTGAAAACATCAATGAAGTCAATGTCTGGAATCTGAGTAAAGCCTTGAGCCACAAGCCTAGCCTTCAGTAAATTTGAGTGGAATTTCGTGCGTGTGTGTGTGTTTTTTTAATGAAATGCTAACAATTTTATTTTATTTATTATTATTATTATTATTATTATTATTATTATTATTATTATTATTATTATCCTCCTCCCTATATATAATTCCCGAATGCGTTGAGTCTACGTGGCTACTTCTGGTGCTTCGGAATCCTATTTGGCAAAAATCATGCTTCGTAATTAGGTTTGGACAAATAATATAGATATAATAATAATTAATAATCTAGGTTCGGATATTCCATAAATATTATTTAGCTAACTTAAGTATTTTAATATCACTTTTACTAATATAACCCTTTAATTCTTTGTAATATTACATAGTGAGGCACTAAGTGACTAATATATCCCTAAATTTTAATTTGTTTCTTTCAATAAGCTATTGAATTATAAATGTATTTTAAAAGTTGATAACTTTTGTATTTCTTATCGGTTTTACATAAAAATTGATAACTTTTGTATTTCTTATCGGTTTTACATATATAATATATCAAATTAATCATCTTTTGATGATCTTCGATTTGACATCCATATTGTATATATGAAATAATTAAATTATATTTATCTTTATAATAATAAAAAATAATAATATTTATTAAAATTCATTAGAAAAATAAAATTATTTCTCAATTCATATGATTGTATTTAATGTAGTTATATATTGTAAGTTAAAAAAAATTAGTATAATATAACACAAGTAAGTCGCACAAATAAAAAGTGTCATAATAAATATATAATAATATATATTCTTACAAAAAATATTTAAATTTTCAAACTACTTTTTCTAATTAATTTTAGATTTTAAGAACAAAATTAGCAAACACCCGTGTAATACACGAGTGTTTTATGAAATCCGGACAAAGTCAAATTGCATACAGACTGCAAAGTCTGTCTGCAGCAAGAAAGCACCCTGAAAAGAAAAGTGATGGCCGCGGTCACACATCTATCTAATTTGTGCTTCTCAAATGGCTCAACGAAGACGACAGCGCGTAGCAACCAACCACCGGTGGCTTCTTTGTCACTCATGGTCCGTCCGATTCGCCGGAAAGCGTTCCCAGGCTGTCGGATTCTCGGGAAAAGGAAGCCCTTACCTTGCCGTCCGATGAGCACTGGCCAGACGGCGCAAACTCCACCCTCATCTTCCCCAACATCATATCCTTGGCTGATGCTCCCCCCCGTCTTGGAATCTGATTCCACCACCGCGGCTTACAAATTCTACATCCTGGCCGAGAACAGGGTCATAACCCTAACCTGCGAAGAAGCGGCTCGAGAAGTAACCGCCAGCGGCGATGTTATGTGCATCAGGGGCTCCTCCCACGGCTGGATCGCCCTGTGGAACCCCCGCACCCACGATCTGTTCCTCTACAACCCCATCTCGCGCCGCCACATAAACCTCCCCCCATTTCACGACCTCTCCAATTACAATTACGACCCTGTTTACGACCCTTTTCGCGTGGTGAAGATCCTTCTCTCCTCCTCCCCGGACGATGATGCCTGCCGGGCCGTGATTATCTACAATCGGGAGGGGATGATGGCCTTCTGCCGGCCGGGCCGGCACAACAACAAGTGGGTTCCGATGGTTGACGTCAGGAGCTGGTGGAGCCCGGACAACGGGACAACTCCGTATAGCAGCTACAGGGACTGCATCTACTCCCCGGAGCACGGGCTCTTCTTCGCCCTCACACAGTGCAATTGCTTGGAGTCTTGGGACCTGAAAGACCCTTGTTCCCCTACCTCGACTAGGATTGCTGATTATTTGAGTTTACGAGGGTCTCCTAAGTGGGAGCATAAGCTCACGACCTGAATGGCGGTCACGGGCCGGGACATCCTCTTTGTGACTCCACACACGACTGACGTGTTGGACTTGGAGGGCCTGTGCGGGGTCGACTATACGGACTACGGACTGGGATATAAGCAGTTGCCCTCCTGGGTGACTATTGATTTCTGTGTGTATAGGTATGACCCGGAGAGTGGCTATCTGGTGAGGTGCTCGTCGCTCGGGAATTGGGCTCTTTTCGTGGGGGCCCACAGCCACGCGGTTGCGTTGCCTGCGCCCGAGCTGGGATGGCTCAGGCCCAACTCCATTTACTTCACGGATATGCATGGATTCGAGGTGTTTGAGGATGATCAACTGATCAACGGCTGCGACATTGGCATTTTAGATTACGAGAAGAAGACAGTGTCACCATGCTATTATCCAATCGATGTCCGGAGACTCAAGAAGATTTTCCCGCCGCCTATCTGGTTCTTCCCCAGCCTCTAACTGATAGATGCTATCTTAAGGTGTATTCATTTGGGATTTTTAAAGAATTTAAAGATTTTAGAGTATTATTTAACTTTGACTTTTTGAAGACTTTTAAAGTCTTAATGAATTCATTTGAGATTTTTAAAAGTCTTAAAAAGTCTTGAGTATTTAACTTATTTGTGATTGAGATTTGTTACAACTTTTTAAGATTTTCTCAAAAAATAAACTTTATACGAAATCGCACTACAAATTCATAAGATTTTTGTAAGATTCCTCATAAATATGAAAGTTTTAAAAAGCCTCAAATCTCAAAGTCTTCAAATGTCACTCAAAATCTCAATCGAATACTAACATTCTCTCCGGACTCTTTTTTTTTTTTGATCGTTAAATAAATTTTATAGATCAAAATTTGTTTTTACATCGACCAATTTGGCACACGGAAGCGAAGTGGGCAACCACAACTCGGCCCCTCACTCGCTAATCAAAATGATGAGAGGCGAACCACAAGTCGGTTGCTCATCTCAATCAAAAGTGCAATAATCAATTTGTCCTAAATCTCACATGGGTTGGTGATGGAATGAGGAGGTTACGTCGAGCCACTCCCAAGAGCTTTTCTCTCAATGTCGACAAGAACATTCGGGTATAGTGCGAATATACTCCTATAAACATGAGTTTGGATTTTCCGGATGATGAGTTCCGGGGATTGTACCTCATTTTCAAAAATCTTCCTATTCCGAGCGTTCCATAAGAAGTAGATCGTTGCGGCGAGCCCGACCTTAGTTGCTTTTGTTCTCCAACCGGAGCCTTGGGATTCCTTCTTGATCCACTTCAAAGCACTCTTTAATGTGGAGAGTTGCCGTCTTAATCCGAGCCAATGCCGGATGTCAAGCCATACTTGAGCCGAAAGGGGGCAAGTGAAAAAGAGATGTTCGTAAGTTTGTAGATTACGTAAGAGATTCCTTCTCTCCGGACTTGTTATCATTCTAGATTACGTAAGTTTGTAATTTTTATACTTCAAACACTGTTATCATTCTATATTACGTAAGTTTGTAATTTTTATACTTCATGATTGAATATTACTATTGCTAGAGAATCATGGTTAAGTGGAAAGATTATATATATATATATATATATAGGGTCATGCTCCGGTGAGAATGGTGCTCTAGGAAAGAAATAAGAATAAATCGTAGCTATTAGATCGAATGATCTAATGACTAAATAAAAATCAAAATTATACATTAAGGGTATTGTGGTAATTTTACACAATACTAAAAAAGGTGGGCCCCTTTCACAATAAAAATAAGCTGCCATTATACCAATCAACTCCCACC